TTTTATTAATCACAGCTGTTAGAATACGTTTAAAATAGTTTTTGGTAGTTAAGGTTTTCAAAATGGGTAGAGGAAAGGTTATTAGTGAGAAAATTCGGTTACTGATAATGAAAATTTTTAATTCTGGGAAATCAAACTCAGAAATTGCAACTTTGTTAGAATTATCGCGGTACAGTGTGAGAAATATTGTTAGAAGATATAACGTAACTGGTTCAATTAATCTTAAGCCACGATATGTGAAAAAAGTAATATCACAAATGCCAACCGAAAAGCATTAAGAAGAATAATCGTGAAAAACAGGCGTGCCAATTATTTACAGTGAAGTGCTCTGTAGAGTGACGCTGTTGGAAGGAGAATTTCGAGGTCCACAACTCATAGAGAAGCGCACAAACTGGGATTTAGCACTTGCAAGGTAAGTTTTCTTATAAAAAAAGTGAAGTGAAAACCCCAAAGTTGCACAATTTGTTTATAGGCCAAAGAGAAGCCACTATTAACTCCACTGCAAAAGAAAAATCGGCTTAGATGGGCTAAAGAACATAGACAATCGACACCTCAACAATGGTGTGCAATACAATGGGGTGATGAGGCCCGATTCGAAGTTTGTGTTGGTGACAGTCGCAGTAGAGCTATTCGCCAAAAAAAATGAAGCATTACATGTTGACTGTCTGAAGAGAAAAGTGACATTTCCAGCATCCATTATGGTCTGGGGCAGTACGTCATCAAAAGGAGTAGAAAAAATTCATTTTATTGATGGAAATGTCGATACAAACAAATATTTGGCAATTTTAGAAGAATCGCTTTTACCAGTGACGGAAGAATGTTTGACATCCGGCCAAGATTTTGTGTTTCAGCAAGATGGTGCAGCGAGCCGTACCTCATAAAAGACTATAAAATGGATGGAAGAAAATAATATACCACTTTTGAAATGGGTTTCTAGCAGTCCAGATCTGTCACCTATTGACACTTTGTGGCATGACATGAAAAAGGTTCTACGACAACATCCTGCTCGTACAATCACCGAACTAAGACAAAAGCTTCAAGAAATATGGGATTGTTTTACATCAAATTTTTGCCAAAACTTGGTTAACATTATGCCCCAAAGAATTTCAGCCGTGGTGCTGTTACCCAATGGTAATCTTTCAATTGTTGCTTTGTTAACTTCGCGCATTTATTCGCAGATTGTTTATTTGTTCAGATGTTCTATTAGTTATAGGTCTAAGTGATTTCAAATATGTAGTTTTTACGACTAGAGTGTATCTCAAATGCTTTTGAGAAAATAAATTGTTTTAGAAGTAAATAGTTTCGTCATGTTAAGTTTATAAAGGCATATTTTGGTACAAATATTGAAGTGGGCCAACTGAAGTAGGAAGGGGCTCGTATTTATATAGATTTTATATCCCAGTAGCTTGTAAACTTTCACTGATGTATAACCTAAGTAACCTACATTTTGTTCTGTAAGTAGGAGGTATCAACATAAACAGTATGAAATATCTTATTTTAATCGGATTAAGTTAGCAGTTTTACTTGAGGCATGGCTAAGTCACTTTGAAAACTCGTAGTTCTAGTTCTGGCAAGAAAGTCACCTCTAGTAGCACTAGCATATGCAGGAAACTCGTTGCCTCCCATCTTCTACATCAAGATCTATATAGATGCAGCGGCAAGTACTATTGGAGGCTAAAGTTTTGGTGACAGCTAGATCTATTGATCGGTTCTATGGTTAAGAATAACCGGATATATATGTAATCGATTTCTAGTCAGCGGCACTGAAGAGCATTAGTGCGGATTCGTAAATAAATTGGGGAAAGTTCGGGTTAATGGGCGGTCTAATGAGTATTTTAGTGTGATCCGAATGGGCGTGATTGAGATTTATTGTAATAGCGTTATCATGCGATATTCAACGCAAATACGTTCATTGGTGCAGTTTAGCGAGAAGATCTGTTAATGTCTTCTAGTCTTTGCTAACATTGACGTGTTGGTGTTTCAAGTAAAATATCATCAACGGATGTTTTCATACCTAAAGTATGTAACATGTGGCATATACAATCGATCAACTCAAGTTCATCGTATTTATCCATTATATGACAGTTTCAGACACATTGTATAAAATAATAATAAATAAGATTTATTCATTTCAGTGATACCAATAATAACCACTCAAATGTCACCAAAATAACCTTTTCCAGCTTCACGATGTAACTTTATTCTGTCTAAAAAATCTATATTGATAAATACTGCAAGGTACCTCGGTCATTCCAGGCGCAGCATTTCCGGTGAATTATATTACTTGCAATACCTAACAAGTTTCTAGTAACAATATATTATATAGTATGATCTTACGATACTACATTACGATGAGTATTGTATTGCAGAGAGATAATAAGCAGCGTAAATGGCGACACGTCTCGTTGCTGGACACTTAGTGGTAAGACTCAACCTTAAACATTATCTATAGTATTTCTGGATCGTATGGTAGCAGCATAAAAAACAGGCGAGAAGTGACGTGGCCTGTTGAGGACCAAACGTTCTAGCCCTTATAGTTAGTTTTGTACGTATAACGTACGACGATTTCATCTTCACTGTCGGCTTGTACAATTGTGCTATTGCTGAAACACACGGTCTCATCAAAGTCAGAATATATTATACTTTTCCGGCTTTAGCATTCATACAAGTCACATACATGATGTGTAACAAAAGTGGAATCCTCATTTAATCGTAGGCAAACTGAGCTGTGCCTTGTTTGAATTATGAAGCTTAGAATGATTTTTTAACCAAGATTACCTATTGATTGTATATTATGTGATTGCTTATTCGTGTATCCGCTACATGATCTTTTTTGGGGAGTATCTCCTGGCATTCAAAGAGCAATTATTGCTCAGAAGAGGTTGATTTGTGATAATCAATTATTTCAAATGCAACAAGTTACTGACAGTGCCATCAGTCTTGATATTAGAATCTTGCACCGTCATTAAAGATAACATCGAGAGTTGACTGATGTGAATTCCTACGGTATTACAAATGAAAACAATATTTACTTGAAAAAAGTACAGTCCATCTTTATTAAGACGTAACCTTATACATTGTGGTAGTTCAGTATACAAATAGCTGCCATCATCGATCACAAGACTAAAAAACGTAGGTCTGTTTAAACGAAATTAAAAATTATTTCCAACTGTTTTTATGGACTGAATGAGTTAATGAGTATTGTAAGCCGAACGTCCCACAGCTAACCACATAGTTTTTTCTTTCTCTGATTGACGATGCAAAACATGTTTTCTCTTTTATTTTTGCAAATAAAGCTTATTGTTTGATTAATAGAGAATTATTATTGTATTAATTTATCATTCTAGTTTCGCATCATCTAGATCCGTGTATTTTGTGTATACAACGTAGCGTTTATATTAGCGAATTGATTCATTGTTTTTCATTCACTTTAGTAAAAGCTGTGTATTTTTGTATCTATAAAGTAAGTTTGATGTTGGACATTATAAAATGTCTAAATAAATAGGTAGATACTATCTGTGGAACGATACAGAACTAGTGTCACCATTTACACCCTCTGTTACGTTTTTAGCCTAACTAGGTCGCAAGGTCATATGAAAAACCTGAAAAGAATACGCAATCATTTGTGACCATTGTCCTATTATCCAAGGATAAGCGAAATGTTATATTCCAATCCGGCTACCTTGTAAGATCTTGATTACTTGATAGCAGAAAGACTTTAGACACCATTCTGTTTCTGAAACTGCAGCTATTTTTGAGATCATTATACTACTTTTCAGAAAATTCGTTGCGAACGTAGGAAAAATATCTGAATAATTTTATTTCTCTTCCAACTTTGTATTATATTTTGACACAGATAATATCATACAAAGACCCCTTTTAACATTGCTCCGCGCCACGCCACAGCCGATGCTGCTTGTTAATCAGAGCGAATGGAGGGCAATCGTTTTATTAAAGGTGGGTGTGGAACCACGACCGCTGTGGTCCGAAATATATGAGATCATTTTTCAGCATGGTATGCTGCGATTCATTTATTTCTATATGATACGGATGTTTCGTTATGGCTTTGCAATTGTTTCTATAGTATCTCAAGGGAAAATCAGGTGATTTAAAATAACTGATGATAACAAAATGAATTACAGAATTTTATCTATTGTCAGGAATTAGATAAATATAAAATAATAGCAATGAAAACACTGGAGGTGAGGGCCTGTCGCTTCTGAGAATATGATCATTGTGAAGTTAGCTATGAAGGTTCCAGCTCAACTGCTGTTTGATATGTTATTCAGTCTTTTTAAGTTAGTCACATGGTGACATTGCACAATAAGATAACAAAAGAGAAATCTTTCTGTTTCTGTGTATAAACACGCAGCCGTTCGTGAAAATGTCATAAAAAGGGATACCTTACGAATACGGTCATTACCACCATGAAATTGGATGCTTTTACCTTCCCTCTTTCTCTCCGGCTACTCCAAATGAAAAATTTACGAGGCGCATTGTTACCGGTTTTTTCTGTGTCGCTTTGTCCTCGTTTTGTATCCCAAGTCCCATCTGTTCATGGGCTCTGTGTTTTAGGGAGGAGAGGGATGTCTCCCTTGAAAATACGCCTCATTTACATTAATGGCTAAACTTTGAATAGAGTTTACTTTTTCATTTTCTCTTACTTTCCTCGAAGTTTTCTAGTATACTAAACAGCAATATTTTGATATAATTTGAGAAACTGGTCAACCGAGCAATACTTAAGTAGATGCAAGGCGGGTATAAAAAACTTTGCAACATAAAACTGTACAAAGTCGAGACTGAAATGAAGATAGTTGGGATGATGAGTTATTTGTCGATCTGCAATCTAAATAACTGTCCTCATCCCAGATGCGCTCCAATTTGAAGACTGTCAGTAACCGCATACGGTGTTAGGACTCAAGCAGGTGGCATCGAAAGCTGCAGAGTGCCTGAGAGGAACCTTGATCATCGACGAACATAATACCTACAAACATGATGTCATGTACCGCATGGAAAATGCTCCCCATGGAAAACCTGGGTTCATCCAATTGAACCAACTCACACCTCATGCTGTAGGCCACAATGACGAGCAACATCTTCAGGTACTGACTCTACAACACTAGATCAGTCATTTGAAAGATATTCTGGTATCTGGAGGTTAATTATTTCCTCACCAAGCCCCCTTTGGTCATGGTTGCTTCCGTAAGCGTCTTCTTCAGAGAGAGAGAGAGAGAGAGAGATCCCAATCCAGTGAATGTTTCTTCTGTGGCGATGATAACGTTACGTTCTGCACAGAATTCCTGTAAAATATTTAATATTGCAAACGTATCAGAGGAGCTAGTAGGCAATCAGAAATCTTGTGAAAAAGTATACAGTACTATGGTAAGAGACATAATTCAGACTAAAGAATTAGAGGAAGTAATGTATGTACGAAATTCCCAGCGCCAAAATAGCCAGTTAATTAGTTTAACTTTTGAGCTTTAGTTGGTGTAGTTGTTTGACAGTGAGACCGTTTTTACAGTGTTATACAAAACTTAGACACTCCGCAAACTGAATTAATGCGCGAGCGGTTCCAGTATGTAGAGGTAGGGTAGAGGACGATTTTTAGTTGGTAGGCGCCTTCCTGGTTACTGATCCTTATCGCTTTGTTGGCCGAGACAACCAAGTGAATCCAACACAGCGTGATGCTCGAGGCTGTTGGCGTCTTCGAAGATTCTTACGTCCCCGCAAAAATGGTATTTGCAGGGGTAGTTCAAAGGCAAGATGGTGCAGCGTGCCAAAAAAAGCTATAAAATGGATGGAAGAAAATAATGTACCACTTTTGAAATGGGTTTCTAGCAGTCCAGATCTCTCACCTATTGAAAATTTGTGGCACAATCACCGAACTGAGACAAAAGCTTCAAGAAATATGGGATTGTTTTATACCAATTTTTTGCCAAAACTTGATTAACGCTATGCCCCAAAGAATTTCAGCCGTAATAGAAAATAAAGGTGATCTTATCCAATGGTAATCTTACAATTGTTGCTTTGTTAACTTCGCGCATTTATTCGCACATTGTTTATTTGTTCAGATGTTCTATTAGTTATAGGTCTAAGTGATTTCAAATATGTATTTTTTACGACTAGAGTGTATCTAAAATGTTTTTGACAAAATAAATTGTTTTAAAAGTTAATAGTTTCGTCTTGTTTAGTTTATAAAGGCATATTTTGGTACAAATCTTGAAGTGGGCCAACTGAAGTGGGAAGGGGCTTGAGCCCCTTCCATTTGACTCCTCTGGAATTTTCTCGATGCCATCGTGAATTGTTACAGAGTGTACTTTGCACTACTCTAACAATTTCAGCGTTCGTAATTGTTTGGCGCAGCTTGGCAAAAAAGTGTTGTCACTTGTTATCCTCATGCTTCATTTTTTGTTTATTTTATTTGCTTATCAAGTGTTCAATATACAGTGCTTCTCTTTAATGTCCCCTCCCATTTGATTGATGAAATTGATGCGTGGATACCATATTTAAGAGTAAAATTGACAGATGAAAATGGGGGCCATCTTGGAAAAAAATTATATGAAAGCGGAGGTCTTGTGGCACATCATTTTGAAGCTCTTAACGAGTACTTTATAACCCTAGAATATAAAGGCAATACCTATACCTACTACAAAATGGTGGTACATTTATTAATAGAACCATAAAAAAGTCTAAAGGTGTCAAATCTGGTGAGCGAGCTGGCCATCCCACAAGACTTCAACGGACAATCCAACGACCGGGGAAGTTGTCATCTAAATAATTCCTAACTTGTCTGTTGAAGTGTGGAATTCAATATCAGTATCGAATTCATTAGGATTCGCTTCGACGATTTCGGTGATTAGAGGGTCAATAGTATTTTCCAGCATATCCAAATACAGTTCCCCGGTTAAAGCTTGTTCGATGAATAGAGGCCCCACAATATGATTTCCCAATATCCAAGCCCAAACGTTAATTTTTTATGGATATTGAGTTTGAGTTTCCCGGCAGACGTAAGGATTGGTGTCACTCCAATAACGACAATTTTGTCTATGCGCATTACCGTTGAGAAAAAATGTACATTCATCACTAAAACAAATATTTTGGATATAGGTAGGATGCCGTGCAATGGTTTCCGTCATAGTCTCGACGAATTCTGTTCTTCTTACAGGGACATTTGCAGTTAGCTGATGTACCATTTGAATTTTGTATGGGTGTTACTTATTCTTTTCCAAAAGTCTCCATACAGTAGAAGGACAAACCTCACATACATTCGCGATGGAGGAAGTAGACTTTTGGGGATTTACTATGATCTTACCAATTATTTGACCTTGCTTTTGTTTCGAGATGGTCGGATGACCCGGGGGGCTTTTTGTTATTTACACTACCAGTAGCTGTAAATTTTGATACAAGTTCCCTTAAATATTTTCTACAGACAGGACGATTCGAAAAACGATCATTAAAAATCCTTTCGGTCTCGTGAAAGTTATGTGTCGCACCATAAATAAAAATCGCTTCGATTTTTTCCCCCGATGGACGAGAATTGACCATTTTAAAAATAGTTCAAACAGTACTCGTATCTAGCACTAAAACAGAAAACTGAATAAGAATATTTTAACTGTGCAATGATGTTTGTTTTGGTACTGATATTCTTGTCACTGTCAAAAAATAACAAAACAAGTTTTTATCGCTGTTGCTGTGGATACGGTAGGGAATTACTATTATTTGTAGAGATATGCATGTTAGTGGGTTTGTGTTCAAGTAATTATTAAATATACCACTATTTTGTAGTAGGTAACGGTATTGACTTTATAATTTAGGGTTATAAAGTACTCGTCATGAGCTTTAAGATGATGTGCCACAAGACCCCCGTTTTCATATAATTTTTTTTCCAAAATGGTGCCCAGTTTCTTATATCAAAAAATGGTCGCAGAGAGCATAGTTAGAAATTAGTGATCTGTCATCAAGTGCCACACCATCACTCTATAATAATTTGGGCGTTCTAAAAATAAGGCTACACAGCATTCTAGAACAAAGATTCTTCTGTCAATCTACATTCCATTACTGTGGACGATATTACATTACCAAGTGTACCCCTTCCCTGGGATGCCGTGGTGTTTTGGCCAGCGTTCGTAGTCAAACTAACCTGTTGTTTGAAGTTTGATGACGATGTGGATCTCTGAGATGTTGTTTGTCGTACTTCCATTGTCTATGAAGTTTTTTGTTTCACGACGTTTTGATTAATGTGATCTTCAGTCGCGAACAGTTTATCTGAAAGTTCACGTGGAACAAGAAACATTATAGACAATGGAAGTACGATAAACAAAATCTATTAGTTTGGTTACGGATGTTGGTTACGCTGCCTTCCGGTGAGGGACTCTGAAAGTGCAAATGAGTGTCAGAGAAGCGAAATTATTCCGCTAGGTTCCATTACGCATAATCAAATGACAGCCCGCACTTTTGAGCGGCGCGAAGAGAAGCGACGTGTCACGTGTCGCTTCTCCTGAAAGTGCGTGCCAGTTAAGGGTTATCGACAGAAGATATAGATAGATGAATCAATTACAGCATGAATCAATTATTTCCCAGGCTCGGTATACAAATTCGTTTGTTGAATGTTGTCACATACATTAGTTCGAGTAGTTTGATATAAATTACAGAATGATCGTCGCAAAATGCTGTTTTGGTCATAACTCTGTTTTTTCCTTGTAAAATTTGTATTATCCACGTCCATGAGCTCATCCATTGCTGCAGCTTGCGAATTAACAGACTCGTCAGTCGATACGAAGCGAGGAGGAAATGAATGCTAAACAGACACATTTTTGCTGTACTCGGAAACGCTGATGTAAAGAAAATCGCACAGAAGAGACAGCGGGGTGCTTTCCGGGTTCGATGACTGCTAGCTGTTCAAATATCGAGAGATAGTGAAGGGTTGGAACAATGATCGTGGAAAATCTCTCTTCATGAACAATGCATACTGTATTAAGGTTCGTTTCCAACGTAATAAGTTTGCATCCATCAGATAAATAGGCCAAGTGACCTGCGCCTTGGAGATTTTAGTATATGCAATATGTGCCCGACATATTTGTAGAGAATAAATGTTTCAGATATTGTAGTAAATGTGCTGGACGCATGTGGCGCAACATGTGTCAGATGTTCTTTTGCTGCTCGTGCTGGGCGGAACATCTATTTGCAACTTTTATATTGGAGACGTACTCTTACTGTCGTGTTGTAGCATGATGATACTCTCTAAGGAATATAATAATCTCTGGATTCTATGATTTAGTCATCGCAATTCTATTTAGGGATTTATAAGCTTCTGATATTGTTTCCTCAAATTTCATAAAATCATATCAGGAGCAGGTAATAATAATGTAGCTTTCTAATATTTAGCATGTCACTGATCGGAAACCAGTGCAACTTGAATTTAAATCCAATAATTAGATTGTAGTGTGTGTCAGTCACTTTCAAAGGCAGCTATCACTTTTTTCTATTCCAAATAGTCCGTGTGGTGCCTTTCTGAAATCTGTATTCAATGAGCAATCTTTTTATTCAGTATAATGTTATATAGTTATAGCCCAGTAGATTTTTGTTTCACCACAGATGGTCAAAGTTGAGGAAAAAATATCAGAATGTTATAAATCCCAAAATAGTCCTTATTTGATCATGGTTCCTTAATATCTTCTAACTACATTGCATTTGTATATGATAAAGCAACTATCTAGAAGTATTTTATAGAAATAATAAACAAAGTATAACCTTATTTGTAGATGCAGCTAGAGACCACAGACGAAAAGGTTCGTTTTTTTAAAATTCAAGAAAAAATTCAATATCTCATATAGGAAAGTCATTTGGGAGATCACTCCAAAGCTCACCTTCTCCTTAAGTTTGTCGTGATATTTATTGGACACCCGGTATACAGCTGCTTCGTGCTATTTGGTAATTCGTCAGCTGTTCATTGGCCTCAAACCAGGCCTAAATCATGCGTATGTCAGGTGCGTAGATCATGAGTCAGTTGTCAGTTTTTAGTGAAATTGACGGGAACCTCCTAAACTATAGTTTTTCCACTCAAAGAAAGACTTCTCGATAATATACCTTTTTTTGATAGCCGTGAGATTGTAGGGAAACATGTTTTCAGTATAGTTTTGTATATATGTACCTGCTTGTCAAGTGAGTATAAAGAATATAGCCTAACCAATATTAAAAAAAAGGTTAAAGATAAGTTTAAAGCAATCGGATGGCTAGAATTTAACTTTACGCATATCCACAGGTAATTGATTGTGTCCTTTTTCTGAGAAATGTAATATTTTAAGCTTTTCTCTTTGTGGTTGTCAATATTGTGAACTGTGCTATTTAAATGTGTTATTTTTTTTTCTCTTTATAGTTTGTGT